ATAGCTTTTTTGTTTATTGTAGTACCCTTTAGTGTACTTGTAAAAGCAAAAAGAAAATATATATATGCAAAGATTATATGCAGTAAAATTGATTAAAAAAAAGATAAAAAAGATAAATCGACCGGAAATTAAGTATTTTGTGTCTCTGACAGCAGCAGATTCTTCTTTGGAATAAACAGAAGAAGAACTGGGTGGGTAGTGTGAGCAGCAATAACAGAACAGGAGACAAAATAAGCACCAGGCAGATTACGGACAAAATAATGTCTCTAAGCAACAATGAGAGTGTACCTGGATGAAAGATACAGGGGTCACACTGATCCAGAGCATTGCGGCAGCAGGGAACAGTGTAGCCTACCCTCGACCCTTCTGAGGGACACCGACACTGGATCAACTGGTACTCACAACATGGACGACACATGACGCTCCACTCAGAGCTTGGGCAGTTGTCCCCTGTCAGAGGTGTGGAACAAAAACAAAAGACATCAAACTTAATAGATAATTGTGTGATGATACAGATCCGACTTTTCTTGTACAACACACGCTCAACATTTCATGATGACTGGACAAACTTCTGAGGTGTGAAGTCTGTCTTGGCAGGTGATTTCGTGGCAGATGATGCTATCAAGCCAAGCTGGTCTGTATACTGTTTGTGAACCGTATCTGAGACCTTAAGCTGCCATACTATACCTTGTGAGCTTTCACCCACAATGATGCATCAGGTAGAAATATGTCCCAAAATCCAACTGAAGATGGCAGTTTTTGTTTTTTGTTTTCTTTCAAACATAATCAAAATAATATGGAGCAGTGAAAATGGACTCAGCCAATTGTCATCATCACATAATTCTACCCATCAATAGTTATGGATTTATGTGCTAAATGAAATGTAAAAGCCTCCCAGATATTGAAATCTCACTGATATGTCCAATATCTACACTAATTGGGAAGGGAAATGGCTCTATACCAGCAGAAGTTATGAGTTATTTCAGTGAGACACATACAGTCTGAAGGGACAAGTTTTAGCAGCAGAAGTGACTCATCGTCATGAATAGCTCCACAGTTAGTCAGCAGTAAGCCAACAGGCTTAGTTCTTGTTAAAAGTTAGCAACATTTTCACAAAGGATTGGCCACAGGATATAAAGATTCTCCAATATTCTGTCAACCGTCAATCAGATCAGCAAAGAATGCTTTTTACTTACCGTGAGGCCAAGCTGTTACACAAAACCAGAGATTTAAGAGGAGGTAGTAGAATATGGGGTCCAGAGAAGTGGGCATGGGCACTTTCCTTGTGAGGAAAGTGAGCATGTTGGCTGCTAAGTTCACAGCAATAAACTTCCAAAGAGGTTCCAAGAAAGTAGCACCAGCTCGGAGTTATCTACAGATCTTCCTGTCTGCTCAAAAATATGATGTAACGATGGATGATGAATTCTCCCATCTCAGCATAATGGACAGAGGTCCTTAACCCTTTCCTTCCATGATGTTTTCCTTTGTGAAAGCTTGCATTTGCTTTGAAATTAACCAGCTCAAATCAGTGTTAGGTCTGCAACTAGTTCCTGTTTTCCTGCTCTCGTGTCGAGTTGAGTCTTGAGTCTAGAATGAGTGCTGCACGCTGAGTAGTAACAGGGGGAAAATACTTACTGGCAAAGGGAGTGGAAAGTGCATTTGAGGGAATAAAGACATGCTAATGAGGAAAACAGTGAAGAAAGTCCAGAGAAAAAAATTCCATCTGAGAGAGGTTTCAAAGAATAGAGGTGAATTTCACCAAAACTGCAAGTTAGATATTCAAAATCATTCTTTTTTCCAAACACTTCAAAAGCCATGTAAAAAAAAAAAAAACATATCTGCAGGTGCATCAAGCCAAATGTGTTTACTGATGCTTCATCATACACCAGCTGTCTTGCCAGACAATTTAAAAACTTCTTGGAAGACAGATAACAGATGTCCTCCCCCCGACATGTTTATGATGTCAGTTGCCATAGATCTGCCTGGAGGAATGAGGCTGACAGGATCGTCACAGCCCATTTCATGACCAAGGTTGCTTTTCCATTACCTAAGCTTTTACTCTGGAGTTTCCATGTTTTGATACCTGTTCTCATTTCTTCTCCATTAAAGCAGGCTGTAAGCAGACAGATTGAGGCTTGCAATACTACATAACTTCAACTGTTGTTTGCTGTTTATACGGACTTTTGAATGTTACTTTGTGGGATATCTGATATTTTCATTATATGATATTACTAAGGATGAGATTGCAAAATGAATATTTAGCAGAGAGGATTGAGAGACTCTGGGATTTTTGGCTTACCAATACTCTTCTTTCTTTGTTTTGAGAATGTTGGTATACACATATATTAATAGTGATCTACATTACGTAAATTGTACATATCTTCATATCATATATATCATCAATGTCCTGATGAAAACCATCATGAAGGATTAATTGTTCCTTTATGATCCAATACATTTTTCCTACTTCTTCAGCTAAACCATTTACCGACTGGATTACCTACAAAATGTATTGTAGGGCTGCTTTAGCCCATTAATAGTTGGTACTTTGGAGATACATAGCTTCAGGAGAGTGACGATACGCCCAGGTGCTTGAATAATAACCAAAGTCTGCCCTTCTAAACTTTTCTTTTAAAGCTGCATTTATAGATTTTTAACCACTAGAGGGCAGAACATTTCCATAATAAGTTGACTGTGATACATCCTTGACATAATATTGCCTTACACATTAACAAATAATGGCCAGCAGATATGAAACAACAAAAAGTTCAATATTAACTCTCTTGGTTTGGTATCCACCAGTGAAAATCTATAAAGTATATGTATCTGATCTGAGCTTGCTAGGTATTTGACTTTTCTTCACAAGCTTGTTTTTATCTGTAGGTCATTTGGTGCTGGGCAGCCGGTGTGAAAATCTGTCCAGCTTGTGAGTGTGAGCAAATATGCTGGAGGAATGGGGAATAAATATGTGAAAATTGCAAATGTGTCAAATAAAGAAAGCTGTAATTAGTGCGAATGGCATTTATACAAAGCAGCAGACTTACGGTGGATATTATTATTTCAACCGGAATACGTTTTGAAATAATTATAATGTCCCACTTTCAAGCCCACAAGTCAACATCAATTAATTTGTTTTTACCCTGAATATACAGCAGGCATGGCTGACAAACTATGATCATATTTTGAATCACACTAAAAATACATATACATACATAAAAAAATAAAAAAGCAATTAATGCAGGTTTAAGATGCTTAATTATGAGGCTGAGGACGATAAACTACATGAAATAATATAACTAATATAAAGTATGCAACTCTCATTGCATGGGAAGAATGTGTGTCTACACACAACAACTGTAGTCATGATTTTAACTGAAAACATCCCAGCAGTAATTAACTCTAAGATCAACAAAGTGGCAACCACATTTTGACCACCACTTTGAGCTGACACATATAAAGAAACATGAGGGACTACTTATGATTCTTGCAGCCTTTGAACTGTCAATCATTGTTGAAGATTTTGCCTCCTCTTGTCATGTTAAACCTGACCTCACCAGACATGAGAGAGAAAGATGAGGGATGGGGGATTATGTATTTCACATGATGACACAGTTATAAAACTTTCATTGGTGTCACAAGGCCAACTTCGCTGTTGAAATGAGTTCTTGACATCAGAGACCAGTGTTTTTTGGTTCGTGTAATTACCCATGGTGCTCTGTCAGCTATTTTTAGCCCCCCTGTTGCTCTGAGAAATATTCCATTTGGAGCCCGGAGACTCTCATCCAGGCGAGCTCCAACATCCACTGACCTTCCTCACCTCCAACCATGCTGAAAACAACCAAGCACATTGGCAATAGTGACACACAGAGGAGACCTCTCACTGAAACACATCTTATCAGCCTAAATAAGCTCATAGAAGCGGCAAGTATTATGAAGACAGATATATATTAAGTTCTGCAGCAGTTGTAACGTGCACTTATCTGTGAGTGTCTTTGCCAGCAGGCATCTGGATTACTGCAAATCCAAAAGAGACTACAATGGTTTCCCAGTGTGTTAGGTTAATTATCTTGTCTGTGCCCTTGACCAAAGCACTGGCTTAGAACTAGAGTTGGTCCCTGAGCACTGCACAGTGGCTGCCCACTGCTCCTAATACTTAGGACGGGTTAAATGCAGAGAATGAATTGTCCTACAGGAATCTAGCACCGCTGTTTTAAAATAAATTCATATTTTCTAATGGTAAATCCTTAAAAGGAAGTTCCCTGTTAGATAGCCATAGCCATCTTCAACAATGTACTTGTTTGCTCCTGGTGCTACTGGTTACCTAAAATTTTGATTGGTTATATACAGTAACTTATATCAGTACAGATTTGTCAACAAAAATATTCATTTTGTGATACATTATGTATTTATGTCAGCAGGGCCAAGGATATTCACCTTTATTAATACAATAACGATGTTCTCACTTTACAGTCACTTTTATGTTCTTCTGTCTTCATATAAAACATAAACTTCTGATTACAATTACAATGTTCACCTCATCAGACAGCTCTCCATTTATGTGATATAGTGGTCTGTGTGGAGATTTGATGATTTTAGGCCTGCAGTAGATTCCTCAACATACCTTTTAGGGCCCCCAGTGTGTGAATGTCTCGCCTCAATGTGGCAAAAAAACACATGACCACGAGCTTCATTAACTTCTCACACACATCAGGCATGAGCAAAGACAAAAGCTGGTTTAATGGCTTAAATATTTTCTTCATAAGTATAAGATAATAGTGTCAAAGCTCAGACTATTTGTTTTGATTCTGTATCATCATGAAATTGTAAGATATAGCACAGTCTCTAAATTTAAAATGTATTTAGAGAATGTAGATTGACACAAAATATGTCTATAAACTGTATATATTTTATTTGACAAGAGTGCCAAAATATCAAACTCACAAATATAAATAACCAGTGAAAGCACAATCTTCCTTTATAACAGGAAAACCTGAAAACAGTTGAATTGTACACCATCTTTAATGCTCTTTTAAATAAGTGCCCTGTTTTTGTTCAGTTGATGTGTTACAATGGTTTAAAAGACATTTTAAAAAGCTGGTTTTGAATACAGACAATGGTTCACTTAAACATTTTCAGTCTGGTAAAGAGGTACCAGAGATGTTATACCATAAGTTAAGTATAAGTGTAAAAAAAGACTTCGCAGTTGTGGTGCAATTGTGCATTATTCTGTCATGTAAAGATATACACGTAAGAACAACACATGACACATGAGAGACATGTAAATAATTGAAACAGGGCTCTCTTTCAGTCTTTTGTTTTGAAACTCAAATATATTTTCATAGACCTTATGCCATTGCCTATGTTCACAATTTAAAATTTGACTCAGCTCAGAAACATGGTGTACTGTAGCAATAGTGCACAAGTTTGTGAATGCAACAGTATACTGAAGGAGTGTTTTCTTTGGAGATAAAAGCCTATTGTGTGTCAGTCCCACTGACACGAGGTTTCTGATTACCTTGCCTGTTGTATCCTCTATAAACTACAGGATATTACAGATCCGGCTGTCTTGGCTTTGTTCATATTTGAGAAAGCAGACATGTTCCTAGCCAGAGGCTATCATAAAAAAAATAACAAGATACTGACATACATTCATAGAAATGGCGTGTAGCTGTAAAAAAAAGTTTCTAGTTTGCTATGACGCCAATACCCTCAATCTGAGTCCCTGTGAATAAAAACAGCTTTTTTTTTTCCCCTTCACTTGTACACTAGACCATAAAAGACACATTATTATATTTCTCAGTCATTTCATTTTAAAAATAATTGTAAAAAGGCCCCAAATCAACATGAAATAAAATATATATATAGAAATAGAAATTCCTTCAAGCCTTAAGTCAAACTGTAAAAAACCACAAGACTAATAAACCCAATCAAAATCACTGATTCCATGTACGTATCACTTAAATCACTAACAGTCATATGTTACATTATTTCACATTCTCACGCAACATGGATAAAACAGGGTTTACCAGCTTAATTACAATGGCTAAACTCCCATGTTGCCTTTCTCCCCTGCCAGCAGTTTTTCCTTGGCGGAGTCCTGAGGGTCTCTGTATGGAATCTTCTTCATTTCTAGACTTTTGACCCAAGTGTAGGCTGATGAGCCACAAAGAACCATCATGTTACTGGTCCACCACAGCATGCTTTTACTGGAGGAGTTGTACACCACCGCAATAACAGTCTGTGCACAGGCCTTTGCCGTCCCTGAGACATTGTGCGTAAGTGGACTGGTATACTTGATCTGGAGGCCTGTGACGTATCCAATGGCGAAACCAAACACTCCTCCGAGTGTCATCATGCCCCAGAACCCGAGGTCAGTGAGGCGGCTGAAGCTAGAGAGATGGCCCAACTCTCCAAACATGAGAATGAATGGGAGGAAGAGGATGCAGGCATTAATGTTGTTGTAGTAAGACAGTTTCCAGATGTTACCGTCCACTGCTGGCATCACCTTCTTGGTGTAGATGGCATTCATGGAGACAAAAGCACTGGCAAGCACCCCAAAAAAGACGCCTGACCAGGAGAGGGACCCCGCCATTCCTTCCTGGTCCACACCAAGCCAGAATCCACCTGAGAAACACGGACACATGCAAGACTATAACATCACAGTACACTAAAGAGCATTTTTAAAATGGGAGCAGCCAAGCCGCAGTCAGCTGGATTCCAGCACTAAAATATCTCAATATGTTTCTTACCAGTATTTTCTAAGTCGTGGCACCGAATAATTGTTATATTTATTGACTTTTCAGCCAAGAATTAAAATACTGATTGAAAGTTTGGCTGCAAAAATATAGCTTTTTATTTCCAAAAACATGTTGAGTCTATGTCAGAAAAATGCCCTAAAGTCATATTCTCAAATTTCAAAACCCACATTATGTTCACATCATGGCAAATGAAACAATGCAATGAATCTGAGAAAAACAGCCAACTGTCACATTTAAGAAACTTAAGCCAGAGAATGTTTGCCATGTTTGGTTGAGAAATAACAATTGTTGTTGGAGGACAGATGTGATATCTCAACTTTGTAAAATATTCTCAAGTGGTATGAATTGACAATGGAAATGTCGTGAATGTATCAGGGTGCTCACGAAACACAAATGCAGGACTCCACAATCCATAAAAAAGTTTGGAAATGATACAACTCGTAACAGGTTTTGGGTTAGTTCTTGCCTGGTGTGAATTAGGTTTTAAATTACATGATAAATGAAATGTAAACGATATACCACATATGGCTGAAAGTAAGCAGACAACTCTGTCCACAAAGGTGTACTTTTGATTTTGGGCTGTTTTTTTATGATTAGGGCCATTTAGCTGAAAATAAGAAACATCTGTCTGCTACAGCACAAACAATGTTTTAGACAATAGCACGCTGCCAATTTTGCTTTTGCAATAGTTTGGGAAGGCCCTTTCCTATCTTTACACAATGTCCTCATGGACATTGCCAGTTCTATTAAAAAAAAAAAAACATGTTCTGAATTTGGTGTGGAAAATGCCAGGCCTTATCGCCCAACATCAGTATCCAACCTGAATGGGAATGCCTGCAGCCATGTTTCAGAGTTTTGGAGAAACTTCCCTTAACAGCATACTAATGTCCAAAGTTTTGAAATGAGGTGTTCAATGATCAATGGGTGCAATGTTCTGGTGTCCATATCATTTTGGCCTAAGGGCATGAGAACATAAGTAAAGATATACGTCTGGCTGTGTCGACTAAGTGCAGATTGTATTTTTAGCTGCTGACCTATTTACGACAATGTCAAAAACCCTGCTAGATGCAGAATCTGACTAACAGAGAAAATACTGCTCTATACTCCTCATAGGAAGAAATGAAGTTAACATACCTAATATAATGCCACAGCACATCAGGGCTTGGAATGATGTAGTTTGTTTCAGGATAACATAAGATAAGAGCACATTGAAAACTGTGCTGAGTGAACGACCGACCGTGTAGAAGGCCACTCCGACATATTTCAGGCACAGGTTGTTGAAGGTGATCATGCCAATGAACACAACGGACAGCGGCAGCACCTCCCGGGACGTCTTCACGTCGAATCTGACCGACGGGAAGTCGATGAGACCCGGGCACAATTTGGAGAGCAGCTGCATGACCCAGCACAGTCCGACAGTCACCAAACACTGGTAAAACGTGACAAATAACGGCGCGTCCAAGTCTTTGTTGTCCAGCAGGTAATTATTAAGGAACACCATTGTAATGGAAATAAACCAGTACAGTGCAACCACAGTGGCTATTCGAACCGCTCGGAGTATGAAAGTCTCTCCATAACCGTCCTGGTCCATCGTTTCCGAGCCGGCCAGAGCCATCCTCAAGATGCTGGACCGCTTCAGTTGTGTCCTGTTCATGGTTACAGAGGAAGAAGAACAACGTGGGTAGAAACTGGAGCATTTGCTTGAGCTAATATGTAGCTACAGACCAGCAGTGATACACATCCATGATACAAACATGATGGCGAAGTTCCGTCGACGGCAATAACAATACGACTTCCGGTATAGTTTTTGTTTCAAAATAAAAGCTTCCCAAATCTACCTCGCAGCTGAATGCAACTTTTTCAGTGTCCTCTGGAATTACTTATAACACACACCTTTTTATTTTAATTCTGTCATATCCGCTTTATAATTGTTATTATATTATATTGTTGTTGAGTTATTGTTTCATTGCAGTTATGAAAAGTTTTAATCCTGGTTCAATCATGTAAAGCACATTGTAACTTTGTTTTGAAAAGTATGAGTTAAGTGTATTATTATTATCATTATTATTCTTATTATTCTTATTATTATTATTATTATTGGAAACCAAACATAGCTTTGCATTTTGAGACTAAAATGGAAATCACAATCCTTTACTAATCAAATTTAAGAAGTCCTTTTTTTTAAATGATTGTCTCTTGTGCATTTTGTTAAAACTGTTTATATGCTGATATTATGGATTTTTTTAAAACTCAAACATCAGTATCCAAATGAACACATTCAGTACTGGTCAAGCAATAGTTTATAGGTGTAAAGTCTAATGCCCTCATAAAAAGGAAAGAAAGAAAGAAAGAAAGAAATGCAGGGAGGGACTTTTAATCCTTTCCTGAGGGTGAAGAAAGTTCACAGGATATCTCAACCAATCACGTTTATTGTGGGCGTCACTATTTAGCACCAGGTTCCATGTTTGGCTGCCTTTGAATAGTTTTAATGTCATGAGATATGAGATATGGTTTCACATTGCTTCACTTTAACTGTAAATTAAGCTTACATTCCTATTTGTGTTTGCTAATTGTCACCTGCAACACGCAAATGATTATATTAAGTTATTTGGCAAGCAGTAGCAGTAACAAGCTAGATTCACGTTTACCCAACCATTTGTCTGTTTTACACTGCTCCGATTGGCTAATTGCCAGTCTCCTGGCTGCTACAGGTAAAAGAGGACACACATTTCAATATCAGTTCATGATTCTTCTGACAACAGTTTGAATCATTTAGTTTTAAAATCCCTCACCTTTATTTTGAAGGTAGACGCATAAGGAAGAGCGTGACTACTTCCGTGTTTGAACCAACTTTTTATTTTTATTTAAAAAGATAGTGTCCCTGAATGAATGTATTCAGCCAGCAAAATATCGTCCATAGTTTTCCCGATTATATCATTCTAACTCATTCATCAAACTAGTTCACTTGGCCAGATGTCTCAGCTGGCAGCTGTGTTTTAACTGATGCATTTACCCTTTTATTTAGTAGGCTAACTATTCTACAGTATGGTGTATTTTTTTCCTCTACATCACCTGCAAAACATTTCTATTCATTTTTTTTTTTTTTTTTGTTTGGATACATGATGCATTGTTAAAAAGGAGGTTTCATACCTTAAGCTGTCAGAGATTGCTCTGTATTTGAGTGCAGCATGCAGAATGAATGTTTAAGGAAGTGTGAGGTATTTTTTACTCTTTGACTCACTCCTCCCATGAGAAAACAGGTTTTGACCTTCTATGTGTTATATATAGTTTGCCCTGGTAGAAGATGCATAGGAAGATAAGTATTGTCAGAAGATGCATAGGAAGATAAGTATTGCTAACCTGAGTTCTACGGGGGGTGTAAAATCATGAGGGCAATGAAATAATTCTGGCTTGATTATTGTTTGTTATTTGTTGTTAAGTTGATAAATCTGCTGGTATCTGAGGATCTCAGACTACACTCTGGCTCATTAAAGATAGCAACATCAAGGCCTTGCTTTACTCTGAACTTGATCAGAAAAATACAGAAACTCATTTTTAAAACTCACAGGCAGACGAAGGAAGGCGGAGAAAGCAAGAGCAATGCCATGTCTCATAGCACACAATAGATATTTGAACAGTGCATGTGTAGAACCAGAATAGGAGTGAATGACAGGAATGAAAACAAGAGTTTCTTTGTTAAGAAGTTGTGAAATAGCTGTTGGGAGGTTTGCCATGCCAGGTTTTCAGGTTTAGTAGTCATAGAACACTAAGGAAGATTTTCAGAATACAAATTTAAAAAACAGGTTGGATCAGTTATTTTAGTTTACACCTCCAGTTGTCTCAGGTTTTGATTTAATTTTAGTAACTAATAATAATCCAAACCCCAGCAATAAAGATGAAGCCTTATACTGTATGTGTTACTCCCAAAATATATTTTCAGTGACTGCCCTTCAACGTTAGGCTTTTATTTTGAAGAAGAGAAGGAGGTGTTAAAATGAGACTATGGTATGCATTAGGCATGACTGAAGTTTTAATTAGTTCAATAAAAACAAACTTCTAACAGTGAATGAAATCTACACTTAGAAGTAAACCTCAGTTTTGTTTGATTAGTTGACTATGTATTTTTGGGCCATGGAGGATGGTGCTTCTGAGGTACCATAACGTCCTGCTGCACCTTCTGTCATCATCATCTGTAATGAGATGTGTGCAAATAATCCCAATGACACCTTCACCAATTCTGTCTTCTCAAAAATCATTACTTTTCAAGATAATATCTATACTAAGTAGTATTTTTAATTATTATTATTATTTATTTTTTCTATTATCATATACTGTACATAAGCAGCAGCAGGCATTCACGGTTCACTAATATTACAGCCTCAAGACAGTAGGTGGCAGCAAATACTCAATGTTGATGATGTGGCTGGCTGCATGGGTATGTGCTTATGACCGACACCTTACTCATGCTAACACATTATGTAGTTTCATAGCACCAGTCAGCTCCCAGCAGCAATTCGTTTTTCAGCAAATTAAACAATACATAGTGCAAAATAGTATTCCCAAGAAAGAACAAAGTGAAACACCTCAAAAACACCACCACCCATCTATTCTCATCTACTCTACTGGATTGCCCTTTTCACACTCAGAAAAGCGTCCCTTTATCAACATGGTCAAAATGTGGCTGCTGGGCTGTTAGTTGAGGCTAAGCCTTAGTCTATAATACCATTCCTTGGATCACTGTAATGTCAATGCAACTGTCTGGGACGCTTAGAATATATTTATATATATATGTGGTTTTGCTTTACTGTTTTTATTTGACAATGAAGACAGACAGGAAATGTGGTGAGCACGGTGCATGACATGCAATAAAAGGTCCCCTTTCCTCACCAGTAATCCCTGAGGACACCCAAGTTTGGATTTCCTTAACCCTACAGAACCATCTCCACCCATTTATTATATCAGCTGCATCTGCTGACTGCCATAAGCACACAGTTTTTAAAGATTTCAGCTGCCTTGCTTGCTTTTATTCTTTCCCTGATGCTGTGTTTTATTTTTGTATACATATTTATTTTCACTTGTAATCTCTCATTTGTTTTCTCAATATTAAGACTAAACTTGCACTTCACTTTGCATTTTGAGACTAAAATGGAAATCACAATCCTTTACTAATCAAATTTAAGAAGTCCTTTTTTTTAAATGATTGTCTCTTGTGCATTTTGTTAAAACTGTTTATATGCTGATATTATGGATTTTTTTAAAACTCAAACATCAGTATCCAAATGAACACATTCAGTACTGGTCAAGCAATAGTTTATAGGTTTAAAGTCTAATGCCCTCATAAAAAGGAAAGAAAGAAAGAAAGAAATGCAGGGAGGGACTTTTAATCCTTTCCTGAGGGTGAAGAAAGTTCACAGGATATCTCACCCAATCACGTTTATTGTGGGCGTCACTATTTAGCACCAGGTTCCATGTTTGGCTGCCTTTGAATAGTTTTAATGTCATGAGATATGAGATATGGTTTCACATTGCTTCACTTTAACTGTAAATTAAGCTTACATTCCTATTTGTGTTTGCTAATTGTCACCTGCAACACGCAAATGATTATATTAAGTTATTTGGCAAGCAGTAGCAGTAACAAGCTAGATTCACGTTTACCCAACCATTTGTCTGTTTTACACTGCTCCGATTGGCTAATTGTCAGTCCCCTGGCTGCTACAGGTAAAAGAGGACACACATTTCAATATCAGTTCATGATTCTTCTGACAACAGTTTGAATCATTTAGTTTTAAAATCCCTCACCTTTATTTTGAAGGTAGACGCATAAGGAAGAGCGTGACTACTTCCGTGTTTGAACCAACTTTTTATTTTTATTTAAAAAGATAGTGTCCCTGAATGAATGTATTCAGCCAGAAAAATATCGTCCATAGTTTTCCCGATTATATCATTCTAACTCATTCATCAAACTAGTTCACTTGGCCAGATGTCTCAGCTGGCAGCTGTGTTTTAACTGATGCATTTACCCTTTTATTTAGTAGGCTAACTATTCTACAGTATGGTGTATTTTTTTCTCTATATCACCTGCAAAACATTTCTAATTTTTTTCTTTTTCTTTTTTTTTTTTTTTGTTTGGATACATGATGCATTGTTAAAAAGGAGGTTTCATACCTTAAGCTGTCAGAGATTGCTCTGTATTTGAGTGCAGCATGCAGAATGAATGTTTAAGGAAGTGTGAGGTATTTTTTACTGTTTGACTCACTCCTCCCATGAGAAAACAGGTTTTGACCTTCTATGTGTTATATATAGTTTGCCCTGGCAGAAGATGCATAGGAAGATAAGTATTGTCAGAAGATGCATAGGAAGATAAGTATTGCTAACCTGAGTTCTACGGGGGGGTGTAAAATCATGAGGGCAACGAAATAATTCTGGCTTGATTATTGTTTGTTATTTGTTGTTAAGTTGATAAATCTGCTGGTATCTGAGGATCTCAGACTACACTCTGGCTCATTAAAGATAGCAACATCAAGGCCTTGCTTTACTCTGAACTTGATCAGAAAAATACAGAAACTCATTTTTAAAACTCACAGGCAGACGAAGGAAGGCGGAGAAAGCAAGAGCAATGCCATGTCTCATAGCACACAATAGATATTTGAACAGTGCATGTGTAGAACCAGAATAGGAGTGAATGACAGGAATGAAAACAAGAGTTTCTTTGTTAAGAAGTTGTGAAATAGCTGTTGGGAGGTTTGCCATGCCAGGTTTTCAAGTTTAGTAGTCATAGAACACTAAGGAAGATTTTCAGAATACAAATTTAAAAAACAGGTTGGATCAGTTATTTTAGTTTACACCTCCAGTTGTCTCAGGTTTTGATTTAATTTTAGTAACTAATAATAATCCAAACCCCAGCAATAAAGATGAAGCCTTATACTGTATGTGTTACTCCCAAAATATATTTTCAGTGACTGCCCTTCAACGTTAGGCTTTTATTTTGAAGAAGAGAAGGAGGTGTTTGAAAATGAGACTATGGTATGC